CCTAGCACACCTGACAACAATGGTGCAAGCTGATAACTATATACACATCTGCAGCAAGTTACTTTAATTTACTCATATGACGGCTAATGACACATGAAAATTGAGAAATGAGTAAACGTGTTACGGTTATATCAGTGAATCTATTATTCGAGATACCGTATTTGACATAATAAGCACCCAGGGCGCTCTCAAAATTAGAAATAGGGGGCTCTTATTAGAATATTATTTTAGTGAAAAAAAACAGCGTTGAAAGATAAATTTTGTGGTTTATGCTGACAGCCTGAAATGTTTATGTACGGCCGATATATTTTTCCAGAATTTAATTGCCCATAATTAAGGGTGCATATAACACAGGAGTGCGTATTATACGCAAATGAATAAGTCTTGTTTACATTGATCAATCTGAAGGGTGCTAATTGGCGCTTATTACGTCGAATACGGTAAGACTTAAATAATGAGGCCAATCAAGATGGGGACAGTGAATGATACGTCAAAGTTGCCGCCCCCTTCAGTGGCCTTCACTACCGGCAGCCTGGGCAATGAAATTCACGTACATCTTGAAATCTAGTGTTGCATCCGGACCTGGTATTACTCTCTCATAACATAATGTTTGGTTTTGGAAGATGCTCTTGGTTGTCTCGAACCCCGGACCACTTTTTTTCCAGGTCCCCATGAGTTGACACAAAGAGATTTGACTGTATATCTTTGTCTGACCATGCTAACTGGTGTACTACGTCCAACCCTGAAGCATCTATCCACTATCACCTAACTGTATATATTAAACATATTTTATTGCCCAAAAAGACAAAGGTATTGAGCACAAGTGCACCACTTACTGCCACCTTCTCCCTATATACAGTTAAACATAATATTGCATAATGGAAATGAATAATTTACAACTGAAGCTTGACACTGAGGAAACATAGTGCATAATATATATACACCTAACTGTGACAGTGTCTGGGCAGTTTTCGAAACTAAGGGGATCCCGGCAGCTTACCTCCCATATTATTTGAATGTAGGGATTCCTAAATCTATACATTTTAACACTGGGGTTATGACAAGGACCCCTTCACACTCAAGCTTAATTTCAAACACTATGATGTGATCCAGCTTCCTGTCAAAGTAAACATGAGGACACATTTTCATAACTTGTTCTCCTCTGAGTTTTTGGTCTGAAATATCTCAATGTTCACATCCACGGTAGTGATGATTGCAAACGCTGTACTTGAGAAACTTGGCAAAATGATTGTTTTGTTTATTGATTGATGCCACACTCAGCAATATTCCAGCTTTATGACGACAGTATGTAAATAATTGAGTCTGGACCAGACAATCTAGAGAGAGTAACAAAAGTTACATTTATATTACTTTCTTAGTAAAGTACAGATTCTGTACTTTTGTCAGAGGGGTACACAAGGTATGTGATCTAGATTATGAGTTGTCAGACTTTCCTTTTTGGAAGCCTCAGTGGCTGAGTGGGTTAGATCGTTGACTGTGTTGGCAATTAGGTTCCTCACTCTGGTAGTGTGGGTTCAATCCTTGATGAGACTCAACCCCAAAAAGTACTAGAATATGTACTTTACTAAGAAAGTGTTATCCCAAATATAACATTTGTTACATTTGACCACTTTTCTAAATGGCAGTGTGTTCATAATCCAGAGAGACATCATGAGCATTGATCTGAGCAATGGGACACAATGACATTCATCAACAAAGTCAGTGAACCTGACCAACCGATCCCGTAATTCACCACTTACGACATGCATGGGTTACCATGGTTACTGAAGACCAATTCAAACCCCAAGGTTAACATGGTTGAATTACTATCCAGACACAAGTCAACAGACAAAGTGGTTGTTTACCCAATCCTGTTAGTCACTAGTGATGGGTTTTGGGTGTTTAAAGTGTATCACAATATTTTACAATGCACAAGGCCATATTGCAATACATATCACAAAATGTGGTATAATAATTCAAAATTATGAATTCAAAAGCAATTGGCAACATCAATGCAGGGAATGAAGTTCATAAATGGAACAAATCAAGATGCTCGAACAGCATAATCTTTACTCATTCAATACATACGTACGGATGCACGCTCCGGGTAAGTGGTGACTTTGTGTTACACCACTGCCATAGAAGCACTCCAGAATGCGAAACATTTCGAAAGTACAGGAATTTGGCCAGTGTATATTATTAAACACATGATAAAAATCGCTATTTGAAATCACCCGATATGCTGAGCATTAAAAAATGATGTGACCCATAATGGGATGTCCTCAGATGTTTGTTTGCAATAGCGAGAACTAAGACCTGATTTTAACATGTTTAATGAGATTGCTCTTACAACATATCTGTGGGTTACTATGGGTTGATGAAAATCAATTCTAACCCAGAACTTCACAGGGTTCGAACACAACGAACAGTCCGGTGTACATAGAGGATTCATCACGAGTGTTTTTTAATATGGGAAATATCAACCGAGTCTTAGTTAATCGGTATTTGCTGAGCCTTTGGCGAGGCAAATACCGATTAACGGGACGAGGTTGATATTTCCCATATTAAAAAACACTCGTGATGAATTCTATTTATCATTTTCACATTTTTGCTTCCAAATTAAGGAATAATTGCATTAAACATTAACATCAGCAACTTGTCGAAATCTTACGTATAGATCGTGCGTAGTGATACATGTTTTCCAGAGCCATGTAAACCAAAATAAACAATTCGCTGAGAAAAAAAGTTCCTCGGATTATTTTAAACAAAATACTTGAACAGACTTTTGCAGAATAATTGAAACTTTAATAACGGTAACAACAACGATTCTGTGTAATCTGATTATATCTCTGGTGTAACTTCACTTATAATATATAGTTTCAAATCAAACCGCTCGCTCTTCCGGTTATCTAATTTGCATATCTAATTTGCATACTTATGTCATTGGGGTATGACATACATGTTTTTATGTCATAAGCTTATGTCATGGATAAATGCTTAAGTTAAATGATAAACAACTTTACTAAGCCAGTGGTCATGGATACAACCACGCTGTCGCCACTGTCATGTCAACATGGTCAAACTGACCTGCATACTGATCATGCTGATAGTTCCAAGGATACAAATGGTACTGCTGTTACACATTTACATCCCAAATAAAACTTTCATGATCGGTGACAGATGTAGCATGCAAATACATACATTGTACTTGTGACTTGTTTTTTCCCCCAAATTACCAGTTGGTGCATATTTTGTGTTTATCAGTTCGACTACTTTGTATTACTAATGCTAGACTTTAGTGGAACATGAAACAGTCAAACAAAATTAAGGGTACGGTGTCAGGTGAACTGAGAAATGTTACTAGCCTAAGACATGGAATATGGAGAAAGAAAAAATTATATAAATATAACCATAAGGAACCGACCATTTGACATTCGGTGGGAGAAGAAGTGGGATTTTGCATTGTGACAAGACATTTTTCCAGCTGCATCTGCTAAACCAGATATTTCTATTATTAAAACTATCATAATATTTGTTTACAAAAAACACCTTGCAATAATGTATTTCTTGTGTCAGACAATCTGATTCATTTTCAGTCTGAAGCATAAATATTTTTTACATGCATTTTCTGCGACAATCTATATTTTTTTTATAAAATCACATCCCAGGCCGCCCAGTCAGTATGGCATAAGCCATAAACATCTGTTCTGTTATTCTTGTCTATCATGTACATGATTTATTCGAAACAAAAATGTTGCTAACCATTTTACAGAATTAAACAAACCAAATTAATTTTGAAGTCCAAATAAGCAGGATGTAGTGAGGTATTCCATCAGTGGGTAAATAAAGATGTAAGGATAGACAGGCATATGCAAGCAGTAAAGGGCATTTTGAGTATGATTACGCACAGCTTTGTTAGGGACAAGGGACTGGCCATGTATTGTAGAGGGGTTGGGGTGAGATTTCTCTGAGGACTGTATCATATTGTGCTGACCCCCCCCCCACACACACACACACACACACATTTTTTGTAACTGTTTTTTAATCCTCCCTCTGCCAAATACATGTAACTTTTTTCATGACAACCTTGTCCCCCCCCCCCCCTATTATAAAAGAGCAGTCCCTAAATAATGTTCAAATTTATTATTTTTTATTTGAAAAAAATAGAACTGCATCATTTTTTCACTTCTCAAATAGTGCTAATTGGCTCAGACTGACGACTATGGCTCTCGCTTCACAGTTCGCACATCTCTCTTCGATCCTTAGGATAAGGGCAGGTTAAGCCTAACTCTATCTTTAGTTCTCGGATCCCTTTTTGATCAAACACCCCTTCAAACACCCATTTACAATTCTTAGGGCTAGGCACCCATTTACAATTCTTAGGACTGAGCACCCCTTTACGATTCTTAGTGTTAGGCACCCTTTTACAATACTTAGGGTTAGTTGTGAGGTAGAGTAGACTTATGGGTCCACTGTGATTTGAGGAAACGGTAAAAAATCTTATCAAGTTTTAAATTTAGCTGAGAAAATGGCTACAGCGCAGGTGCATTAAGGTAAACAATCTGGTTTTGATTACGACCAAATCAAAAGTAATTGGTTAAATATAGATTTATTTTCATGTTCAAACGCAGATGCGACGCTCATGTGGAGCTCTGAAATACAATTGAACTCTAATCACCCTGATCACTAATATTCCAGTTATTAGGCTCATTTCAAGGTTGACTTGTTTGCACAACACCTACAAGGAATATCACCAATAATTAATTCTACAATTTGAATATGTAAACAGATTTCCAGGAGTGATAGGATAGGTGACAAGTGACCCCTTACTCATTGTTCACTGTGATCGTGAATCGCACGAGATGCTTATGATGCGGTTTCTGTCGTTCATGAAAACTGCAGTTGCAAACTCCTGACCAGTCGCCATACCCAGCTTGTAACTAGCGAGCAGTCAACAGTGTTTTACTATAGAACTGTTTGTCCTAGAGAAGTGACAATACCTGCATATTTGAACCGAAACACCAATTGCTGCCAGAGTGACCAATCTGAAGACTATCGTCATCCCCAGCGCTGCTACAAAACCGATTTCTCGTCGACATTCGTTTCCTCCATCTGTTGTCGCTGAACTCTTCTGTGGACGGAGGTAAATAAAGTACGGTTGATACTAGTTGACATATGAGATAAAATCGAAATTTGATTCAACAAACAAATTCTAAAATGCCATAAAACGGAAATCGGATTTATTTGTGCATACAAACCGTCTTCAAGGGATTTCAGGTTTTAAAGACGGATGTAGACTGACAAGATGTGTTTGCAGAATCAATTTTTTTTTAAATACATTATTCCATGATCAATTCAGTAGACCAGTTTTGATAAGTGTTTGTAAACATTTAGAAGTTTTGATACACGTTGGTGCGTGTACGATGCGTACGTGTGGGTGGGGAAATACTAGCTGGCTGGCGCATACAATGACACGTACGTATGGAGACGTAGAATGCTGAGTGGTGCGCGTAGAATGATATGCACTTATGAATATGTAGAATGTTACCTGAGATGTAGAGAAGGTTGGGTCACGTGTACATGATACCGACATGGTGCGTGTACGATGATGCCTGCGTATGGAAATGTAGAATACTGGTTGGTGCCTGTACGGTGCTACGTACGTTTGGAGATGTAGAATGTTGGCTGGTGCGTGTACAATGATACGTACGTACTGGTATGTAGAATACTGGCTGGTGCGTGTACAATGATACGTACGTGTGGAGATGTAGAATGTTGGCTGATGCGTGTACGGTGATACGTACGTACTGATATGTAGAATACTGGCTGGTGCGTGTACAATGATACGTACGTGTGGGGATGTAGAATGTTTGCTGGTACGTGTACGGTGATACGTGTGTATGTAGATATAGAATGTTGGCTGGTATGTGTACGGTGTTACGTACCAATGGAGATGTTGAATGTTGGCTGGTGCGTGTACAATGATACGTACTTATGGAGATGTTGAATGTTGGCTGGTGCGTGTACGGTGATACGTACGTATGGAGATATAGAATACTGGCTGGTGCGCGTACAATGATACGTACGTATGGAGATGTTGATGTTGACTTGTGCGTGTACAATGATACGTGAGTATGGAGATATAAAATGCTGGCTGGGGAGTGCACGGTGATACGTACGTATGGAGATATAGAATACAGGCTGGTGCGCGTACAATGATACGTACGTATGGAGATGTAGAATGTAGGCTGGTACGTGTACAATGATACGTGCGTATGGAGATGTAGAATATGGGCTGGTGCGTGCACGGTGATACGTACGTATGGAGATATTGAATGTTGACTGGCGTGTGTACGGTGATACTCACATCGAGTCGTTATAGATATTTGGCTGTTGTCGGTACTTGATACCGACATGGAGTATTTGTTGTTTTTTAAAGTCGACATGAGTGATTAAAGGACACAAATAAACTCACTCAACACAAGTCTCATTTAAATGTTTATGTATACAACGCGTTTGTATGTTATTGTATCACTGTATCATGCAAACATCGTTAGATTTTACAAATATGACCTCTGAATCTTGTAGTGTAGAACATCTTCCCGAGGCAAGGGCGTTAACTGACTATAAAAGTCCGGTTTTCATCCTTGTCGAACTACCCTGGAAGTTCCAGCCTCGATCGTAGCGCAACCAACCTTCGTCGGGCAGTTAATAGAAGACCTCGGGCTTCTGCAAATGATAATGCCCTGAAAAATAGCGTCACCGTTATCATAGCTAAAATGAGTGGAATTTGTTATCAAATAAAAAGAAACAACAATATCGGATTTGAAACATTTACTGCAATCAACACGAATGTCACTGACCCACTTTTACAAATATGGAAACGTCATAGAACAAACCAGATGACGTCACTATTGAACGTGACGTCACCTAACAACGGGTGTGATAATGGCCCGTCGTCAAGCAAATACGAGGGCATTATTGACCTTTTTCACACTTTCTCCATCTTGGATCGAAAACGAGGCTTGGAGAGCATAGCTCCATTCAGTGAGAGTCGCATCAGCTCATAGGGAACAGACAGCATGTTGTGCATTTCACTGATGGACATTTCAAACAAACAAAAAATGGTATCCTCTGTATCTAATACATTAAATCATAAGGTCCAACTAAAATATGCCTGTAATACACTGGAATTAGCATTTTGCTGTCAGGATCCCGGAAGTGAATCGAAAGGTGCATTTCGAGATACGTATTTCAGAAATAGATTGTTTTATCATAACCTCGTCTGCATATAGGTACAGTGTGACAGCACATTCAATGACAGAAGTTTTGTATCGTAAATAAACCGCATGACATGAAACACGTCAGTGTACTTTTGCAAAATTGCTCAGTCAATGCGTGGCTTGGCGAACTCTAGATCAAGGTTGAGATCATTTTTATGTCATGTTTCATAGTGGTGTTTGCTGCACAACGCACTATCGTTTTGCCATGAGTCCAGTTGACAAAAGACACTTTTTCTGCTATGATTTTCATTTTAACATATTACAATGTTAATTGTGAAAATAATTTGTGTGTCAAAATAGATATTCAGAAGGGGCGATAACTCTATTCAGTGTGTACAATGACAGATGATACTTTACTTGTTCTTCAAACATCACTTACTTAACTGAGTATTGCCGATTGAGATTGCACCGTGCACGACAAAAGTAATAATGTGTGAACTGTTTAAAATAAGTTAAAAGGAAACTAAAAATTGATAAATATAAATAATGCATGAACTTCTTGAACACCCTCACCTAATCCTGTATGATGATAGGTAATTGTATATCAAAAGGAAGCTACTAATACATTTATCCTGAATAGTTTGAAAATGTCTTGATCAGATACGAGTACAGATAAAATAACAAAAGGAATCAACTTCAATTGGTAATCAAGCCAAGATAAAATATATGTATCGGTACAAAATATGTTGATGGAACAATCTGGATTTCTCATATTTAACAAAGAAAAACAAACCAAAATTTTCATATCTTTATTTCTCACAATATAAGTTTTCAAAACTTAACATGGACTAGGTGTCTTTGTCAGTCAAAAGCACCTAATTAAATACCAGGAGAAAATAATTTTCTTGCTTGTAAACAAATGGTACAATGTGCTTTTTCAGTGTCCGATAAATATTGGCCATGTTGATTTGTGAGTGAATAAGGCTTTTCACTTCCTCGTCCTATTTAAGTGTAACAGGAAGCACATTTGTTGATTGAATGAATATGGCTTTTCACTTCCTCGTCCTTTGACATGACGCACATTGTAACCATTGTATTACTGCAGTGTTCGAAATACCTGCCTGCCCGACCGTCCGAGACGGGTTGATTTCAACTCGGGCTGCCAGATTTTCAAATCCCTCTGCCCGACGGTCGGGTTATATTTCATATGTGACAATATTCTAAATATTTCCCGATGATAATCATTAATTCACATGTAAAGATGAATGATAAAATGTAACCAAAAAGAAATCCCTTTAGGTTATCCTGAGTAATATATGATTATAGTGAGCAGGCAGGTTTTGGTCAGGGCTAGCAAGTATTTCAGCTAGCCAGTCCTGTGGTCTGGCTGAAATTTTTGGGAGTTTTATACCCTGGTTACTGTCAGCAGAAAGCTCCTCCAGACATCTGTCACCCGAATACTAGTACTTCATTGTGTTGACTCGCTGGCCTGAAATGAATAATTCAATAACATTGTAATAATATTCCTACTTCAATAACATTTTTTATAAACAATCCTTCTCTCATAATATTGCTTATTTAGATAACAACATTCTTCTGAAATAGAGAAGTTTAAGGAAAATTAATCACGTGTGTAACATTACATGCTACTTTAGAACAATCTTGAAGGCATCAATTCATCTGATATGTCGAAAACTCAAACAGTATATTCTGTGTAAACAGTAAACTCAACAGATGCATCAATTTAATGACAGTGTACTACAGCTCTTTATATCAATGTCACACAGAAATTCACTCTTGTTTTAATGAAACTCGTTTTGATATTTGTATTACCGGTATGTATTTAATCATGAAATACTTTATTTAGACTGACCATGCTGAAAACATACTTTCGCTAGAGTGAAATAAATAAGATTTTCATTAAAATCAGGTGAACTATCACGTTTTGTCACACCTACAGTCAGTCTGCCTCATTCACACTATGGTTTTCTGAGTAAGGTCATGAAGATCACAAAGAAAATATAAGACTTGAATTTATTTTGTCAAATGCAATGTTTATCTCTTCATGTGGTTTACTAAAGTTGATATCTTGACTTGAAAATATTAACTTTGTCAGATCACAAGATGAAATATTATTAAATATATCTTATTGTCCAAAAAGACAAAGGGCAGCACTTATTACCGCCTTCTCCCTATATACAGTTATACATAATATTGCATAATGAAATTGAACAATTTACAGTTGAAGCTTCACATTGTGGAAACATAGTGCGCAATATATATACAGTGCTCATATGAAGGATATGTACAATGTGCTGGAAAGTGAAGATAGTGTGCATCTCATACATATCCTTATATTATACATTTTAGTGTTGAATATAGATTTAACAGTATTAATGATTAACAGTTTGGAAACAATAATATGCTAGCTACTGAATCTGTTAGTTGTTTCTATAAATTTGTGTACAGACAAGAATATTTTTGTATTCAGGAAAACATCTAAGTTTGAATCACCTAAAAGAATACTATGTAGAGTTTTTTGTCCTCCAAGATTATCGATAGCTGTCAGTATTGTCTCCCTAAAATCATCATATAAGGTACATTTGAAGAAGAAATGGAATGAATTTTCACAAGGAGCATGCTATACAAGGAGCATGAGATAAATTCATGCTATCATCGTTATTTGACTAGGAAAACATATTTCTTCTATGTATTTATATTTTTTTATTTTTCTCGTTTTGATTGAATTATAAAAAAATATCAAAATGATCACACCACTTGACTTGATTGAAATAAACTAAAGTTCTAAAGATTGTTAACAATAGTAAAATATTACATCATAACAATATAATTATTGCAAAATGACACAGTAAGCACAACTATATTCTTATATATAAATTGATA